TAGAAAAAAAACAATTATCCACTGTCTTTATCTATTTATTTCGCTCCGTGAGTGAGAACCACATGTGCGAAGCTTATAGTCGTCAGTCTTGGACTGAATTTTACTGTGCTTGAGGTTCAGTCATTGCACCCTGATGGTGGACCACGTCCAGCATGTCCACAGATGTGTTACTGGCTAAGCATCAGAACGCCGGGTCCAAACCGATGACCACATGTTGGGCAGGCCCCAGTTAAATTTCTTCAGGAATTTAATATGTCTAGCAAAATGTATGTTATTGTGAAAACAGCTTCTCTAGTGAATATCCAAATATCCATTTCTAACTTTAAAACCCAAAGTGAGGCACTGCAGAGGCCCTTACCCGGGCTTTGATGATGGTGGGCCGGGGGTCCAGAACGCCCTGCATCTTCCTCAGAGCCGGGATCACAAACAGGTTACAGGTGACCACCGCCGACACCGGGTTACCTGGAGGCAGTGTGACAGGCTGAGAACACACACTGGAAACACACACACACTGGAAACACACACATCCATAGCTCCTGCAGGAAGCACTCTGGTGTTTTCAAAGTAAAAGCCTGTGCTGCGATACCTGGCAGTGCGAAGATGAGCTTCCTGGTTCCATCGATGTCGACGGTGGCGAAGGTGGTGGGCAGACTGCGGGACAGAAACAGTCAGCTGACCGAACCGCAGCAGGAAGTTCGCTTTGGGGTCACATGGACCGCAGCACCTATAGGGAGAACAAGCCCCGCCCCCACGCCTCATACACTCACCCCGGCTTCATGAAGACGCGTCCGAAGTGGATCTGGGCGTGCAGGTCGATGTCCAGCACCTGCTTCAGGTAATCCTGAGGAAACGACAGGTTAGAGCGCCACCGGCCGGCCAGAGCCACGCCCACTGCCGCCACCTACCTTCTCCCCCATGGACACGCCCCCTGAGGTGATGATGACGTCAGCGCGGCTGATCCCCTCATGCAGTGCCGACAGCAGGTCGTCAGGGCTGCAAACACAAGCACAGGTGAGCGTCCAGCAGGGAGCGCCGCCGCGCGCCGCGCGCCTCCCTACTTGTCTCCGACGATGCCCAGGTTGATGGTGGGGTAGCCGTGCTCCTGGATGGTGGCCAGCAGGGTGGAGCGGTTTGAGTCCCGGATCTTCCCGGGGTGGAGGTCGTCCTCTGGGTTCAGCAGCTACAGGGAGAGAGGTCAGTGAGTCCGGGTCCAGGTCCGGGTCCGGTGGACCTCCCAGCAACTGTACCTCGTTTCCGGTGGACATGACGGCCACCACGGGGAACTTGTGCACGCTGACCTCGGTGACCCCCACGGTGGCCAGCAGGCCGATCTCTGAGGGGCCCATATGGGTCCCTTTGGCCAGAACACACTCCCCCCTTCTGATGTCATGGCCAATCGGCCTGGATGGAAACACACACACACACACACACACACACACACAGTCAGCTCTCACTCCACGAATTCATCACAATGAGATCAAAAATAATAAAACAATTATAATATAGTAAAACAATCATTACTAATATATTTACAATGTGTGATCAACAGGTCATTATAACAGTGACTTTGTTTTAATCCAGTTTTCCATTGTTATTTTTAACTCAATCCTTTGCTAAGCTAGCTGTGAGCTAACGTCACGACCGTTTACATGCAGTACCTGTAAACGACCACCAGTGGTCCGGTGACCACAGATGGAGAAAGACTGGTTTAGAGCTCAGAGCGCTGCGCTGCAGGTGTTAGCATTAGCCTCAGGTAGACGTCACCTGCTAGCTTCTGGATTAATACAAATCTGTCTAGAGATATTTTTTAGCAAACCAATTTTTATTGTAGAAACAGGTAAATGATGGGAGTTCACCAAAGCCACACGCTATCAGGTAAGTGAAAACTGCTTGTTTAGTTTGACCAAAAGTCACGTTCATGGACGGAGCATGTATGGACAGATGGATCACCGGACCGGAATTGATTTTTACATCCTTTACAGTAAAAAAAGAGAAAATGCCCATAAATAATCCGCCATATTCTCTTTTCCTTTTCTACACTGCTGTTGCTGTGGAGAACCTAGTACTTTGGGGGGTACCTTATTCGCGGTGTTCACCTGGTGTTACCATGGTGACCAGACATTAGTGTTATGGTTCTGGGCTCACCTGATGTCCTGTCCGGGCCGGGCCTGGACCATGATTCTCACCTCCAGTTCCTCTGTGCCCTGTGACCCACAAAGGAACCACAATCAGAACCATCGGGCAAAAACCCAGGACGGGCCGGCCAGAACCAGGACAGAACTCGGCAGCGGTCCTTACGTCCTCCGACTCCCTCAGCAGCTCCGTGTCCTCCACTTGGACCACGGCGTCGGCGCCACACGGGATCGGAGCGCCGGTCGTCACCCTCATCACCTGACCCGGCATCACGGTGTGGGTGGGCTGCACACACACACACACACACACACACACACACACACACACACACACACACTGTAAGAGTCTGGCCTGCAGTGGTGCCTCTGGCCAGCAGGTGGAGCCATCAGACTCAGGTTTCTCTGACCTGCTGTCCGGCCTGCGACTCCCCCATGATGAAACGGTCTCCAGGTCCGTCAGCGGCTGCAGACAGAGACACGGAACCGCTCCTCAGTCAACTGGACCTCAGCCAGCACCGGCAGAGTTCTGCAGAGAGGACTCACCACGCACGGCATAGCCGTCCTTCACTGAGGCCGGGAACGGAGGCAGGTTGTCTTTGGCGTAGATGTCCTGAGCGAGAACCCGGCCCAAACCGTCTGCACAGAACCAGAACCATTCACCTGGACGTTACCGCACCGCCTGCGATCAGGCCGCAGTTCTGACCCGCACGGCGACCCACCTCTGTAGTTGATGACCTCGATGCCCAGGATGGGCGTCATCTCCAGCACCGTGATGAAGGCCTTGTCCATGGAGGTCAGCGGGAACGGCGACATGCGGTGGCGCCGCGCCACCTTGCTGATGTCCACAGCGCTGTGGCCTGGAGACAGAACCAGACAGGCTTCAGGTCTGACCCGACCGGACCCGACCGGCGGGTCAGACTGAACTTACTGGCTCTCAGGATGTTCTCGTTGCTGCCGCATCGGGACTGGACCTGCAGAACAGAACAGAACCAGTGACTGAGACAGAACCCGATTAAATCACCTCAAGACGACCCGGAGCCTGAGTGGGACCAGAACTGTGTTCTGAACTCTTGATTATTTTGAGAATGTGTTTCTGATGGGTTTACCCCACCAGGACCCGACCCGTTTCTGATCACCTGCAACAGCAGGTGTACTTTAACTAGGACACTCTTCAGCACAACTGAAGAAGTTCAGGAATCAGCTGAAAGCTCCATCCAGGAACAAAACACATCCGGCCCAGGAGAACCAGCAGCAGAACCCGGGTCCAGGTTCTGCACCGGTTCCTGGGGCCCCTCATCTCGAAGTTTAAGTTTGGCATCAACAATATGAAAATATAGTAAAAATGCAGGAAGAAGAAAAGAAGAGCATGCAGGAGGACTCCCAGAACCAGAACCAGAGGGAACCGGACCCAACACGAAGCAGACTGTCCGGCCCGAGGTTCTGGAGGTTCTGGTTCTGGTCAGTCAGTAAGGGTGTGTACCTTGGGCGTCGGGCAGGAGGCGGTGGACAGGCGGGATGTCGCCTGCGTCGCCCGTGGCGACTCAGAGGGGGTGGAGCTTAAAGACGCCGAGTCTCGAGGAAGCACCTGAACGCCTCGGGAAATGATCGAGTCTGGGATCTGCACACACACGCACACGCACACACACACACACACACACACACACACACACACAGTGTTCAGTTCAGAGTCGCCTCTGGATCAGATGAATGACATTAATGGGAAATGATGATTGAGAGCAAATCGGCCTGAAGGTCAGTACAGGATGTCCCAAAGCATGACACTGCCACCACCATGTTTAACTGCTCCACTGATCTTAAAGGGATCCACAACTACTTATAAAAATAGACCTTATTTGGGAAATATTTAGCTTACATGTAAAAACAATACAGTAATAATACAGTAGGTTAATTAGTTTTTATAAATTTTAAAATATTTTCACAGGATTTGTCGCCATGTTTTTCCACACTGCAATGCATTCTGGGCAAATGACGTGTAAAGGTCCAACTGCCTGGCTCCTCCAGCCAAAACAGTAATGAGTCCCGTTATGAAGCCTTTTTGGTTTGAACCGAAGCGCATTGAAATCAATCGGACCACAGAAATAACAAGAGGCGATGAAGAGGAAGAGCTGGCCGTAGAAGCTGCTGCCGCCTTCAGGTTCATCATGAAACAATGAATGAGACTCGCCTCTGGTCACTGTGTGATCTGGTAAGTGGTTCTGTAGCTCACACCGACACCGGACCTCCATGGATCCGGTCGGATTGGTTATGTCAGTACCGCAGGCCTTATAGATCCTGTTAGCACCTGAAAGAGCGTCCAGCTCTGCCTGTCTCAGCACGGCATTTATTTTTAACTCGTTAAGGTAACGATCACCTGTTGAAGCAGGGGAGCCCAAAGTGGGTCCTGGAGGCCCGGCATCCTGCATGTTTTAGTTCTCTCCCTGGTTTAACGCACCTGGATCAGATGATGGTTCATTAGAGGCCTAAGAGGAACATTGACAAGCTGAAAAGGTTCTTACTACCACCAGGGAGAGAACTGAAACATGCAGGATGCCGGGCCTCCAGGACCCACTTTGGGCACCCCTGTGTTAGAGCCTTCCTTGGTTCTGCTGGTATAAATGGCTCAAAGTGTTGTGGAGAAATGTCCAGGGTCCAGATTAGGTCCTTCGATGTGTTCCTCTCCGGTTCTCGCACTGCGCTCTCCTTTTTTTCATGTGGGAAATTATCCAGATTCGCCTCAATTTTTATTTTTTTACAGCCAATAGTGACACCGTGTGGCATTATCTAAAATTGCACCAGTCAAACACAACATGATAAACTACTCGTAAAGTTAGCCTTCCTGTGTTGATTCTGTAGACTCCGGTACAGAATGGACCTGATGACGTCATCAACCCATCAGTGAAAAAAAAAATGGCGACCTCCAACAAATATAAGATGTACATTTTTGAAGTAATTATGAGTTTTGACATATCACAAACACCAATATTTTAGGTAATAGGAAAATTGCAACATATTTAGACCAACATGTCCAATTAGTCCTGGATCCTTAGAATCGCCCAGTTCTGGACGGCTGCGGTAGCATGTTTGCTTCTGCACCGTCCGAGAAACATGGATGAAGAACTGAGAGCTTCTGATTGGTTAGGAGCCAGAAGCTCTGGCAGCAGAGAGAACCTCCGGTACCAATGTGATAATAATGGCTTCCTGTTTGAGTAAATAATCTGATTTTTCTGTATTTTATTAGTCAGAATCTGGACCAGCTACACTGTCCATCTGTTTTAGAGATGATACCATCATGAGATAATTATATGCAACCATCCATCTTCTTCCTCTTCGTCGGGTCGCGGGGCCCAGACTTCCCTCTGCCAGCCTCCTGCTCCAGCTCCTCTGGGGGAATTCCAAGGCGTTCCCAGCAGAGGACCATCGTCCCTCCAGCGTGTCCTGGGTCTCCCTCTGCGCCTCCCACCACCAGGGAGGCATCCCTCCTAACCAGATGCCCGCTCCATTTTTCCCTCATTCATGAACCCAGAGATACTTAAACTCTGCCACTTGGGACAGGACATCCCCCACAAACCCCCAACCTGGAGAAGGCACTCTACCCTTTGGAGGCACTGAGCCTCATCCCGGCCGCTTCACACTCG